GTCGTCGTCGTCGTCCGTCGTCGTCGTCGTCGTCGTCGTCGTCGTCGTCGTCCGTCGTCGTCGTCGTCCGTCGTCCGTCGTCGTCGTCGTCGTCGTCGTCGTCGTCGTCGTCGTCGTCGTCGTCCGTCGTCGTCGTCGTCGTCGTCGTCGTCGTCGTCGTCGTCGTCGTCGTCGTCGTCGTCGTCCGTCGTCGTCGTCGTCGTCCGTCGCCGAGGAGGGTCGCCGCCGGGGCCCGGAGCTGCCGACGGCCCGGCACCTGCACGACAGGATCGCCCTGGAGGGCCACGGGGCGCCGCCGGCGCAGGGGGCAGGCGCCGCGACCTCCCGCTTCCCCTTTTCTGCAGTCGACCCGCATAGTGAGGTGCTCCCCCCCCTCCCGCTCTCCCGTCCCCCGATCCCCTGCCTCCTCTGCCGCGCGCGCGCCTCGCCGCGGGGACGGTGGCTCCTCCTCGGAGACTTGTGTTTTTTTTGACGGACTTTGTCCCTTCACGGTTTTCCTGATATTCCTCTTCCTCCTCGTTTCCCATTTCTTTTCTTCCCCCAACGACTACAGTCAATCCGCACAGAAAGGATGGGCAACATTCCCCCAAGGGTACCCTTCCAGTCTTGCATCCTCGGTCCATCCTTGGCCACTTTTGTTGGCCGAGCCCCGTTCGAAAAGCTTAGAAGCGGGCGTCCAAGGCCCTTGCATTCTTATCGCGCATTCTTCTGATACGTGCCGACTGCACCTTCCTCGCCATCCTGCTCGCTTGGGGTCCAGGGGCGAGGCGCTGGGCGCCAGCGCCCTCGCAGAAGCCCGAGCGGAGCCCCAGGTCCGAAGGCGGCAGGAGGGATCGCGCAGGCCGATGCGGGTGCTGACTATTACGGAGATGGGGGGGGAGGGGGGGCGTGCCGCGCTGGCCCCACGTGGGCTCGTGTTGCCCACCCTGGGCGCAACAAGGGTCACCCTCGCTTCGCCTACAGACTCGCGCAGCCCCCTCTAGCTTTACCTCTTTCCCGCTCCCATCCCTCTCTGGGCTCGAACTGCGGGAGGTCCGCGCTGACCTGCCCTCAGCGGCGGCCAAGCGGAACTCTTGCATGTGCAGGTCTAATTACGGGAGGTCCGCTCTGACCGCCCCCATGGAGAGGTCAGTGCGGACCTCCTTCGATCGGGCCAGTTGTAGAAGCCCATACTTTGCGCTTCAACAGGACTTGTCTCCTACAATACCCTGGAAGAGTACTGCAACTCTCGCGCGCGGTTCGTCTCCCCGTGCCCCTCAATTTCAATTCTCGCGCGGGGCGCCGCGCGATCCTATTTTTCCGCCGTCGGCCGCGAGTGACTCGACATTGAGATCGGGGGTCAGGGAGGGACGGAGGCCAGAAGTTGAAAGAACGAGTGCGTTACTCTCCGGGTGGGCGTCTGGTCAGCTGGCCTCTCCCTCGTCTCGAAGAAGACACGGCGGCATAACGATACACTTCTGGACCTCCGCGCAGATGTTTCTTGGATCGGCGCTGGGCCCCAGTGGCGGGGCCTCTGGCCCCAGCGCAGAGCCGAGAAACCTGCGCCGAGCTCCTAGAGCTTATGCTTATGCCCGATTCGGCTGCGAGCGAGGGGGGAAAGTGAGAAGGAGGAGGCCTCCTCAGGAGGCGGCGGGGCTTCTCAGAAGCCCTCGCACCTCCTTGTCTGAAGCCTCAGAAAACTTCTGCCGGGGGACTTCCGAGCCTTCTGAGAAGGCCGTCCCTCCGCACTCCCCCCCCTCGCTTGCCACCGAGTTTAGTTTTCGGGCCATAACTCGGGTCTCCGGCGGCCGTTCGGGACGAGCCGGGCAGCCCCTGAACGCTCTCGGCGAGGCGCACCGCTGGAACGCATCCCGAGGGCGGCAAACCGCAAAGAGACCACGAAGACTTCCGAAAACCTCGAACCTCGAACTTCGAACCCGAACCTTCCCCCCCGCTCGCTCGCCGCCGACTCATGCCGCTTTCTCTTCCTCCCTCGTCGCCGCCGCTGTCGCTGCCGCCCTCCCCGCCCTGGGCCCCCGCAGGGGTCGCGCCGCGGGCCCGCTTCCGCCCCCGCGGGCCCCGGCCTGGCGGGTGAGGCAGAGCCGCCGCGCAGGGCGCGAGGGGCGCGAGACGGCGTGCCGCGGGCGCGAGGGGCGCGGCGAAGGGGAGCCACTCCCGCTCCTCCTCCCCCTCCGCCTCCTCCTCCTTTCCTCCTCCTCCTCCTCCTCCTCCTCCTCCTCCTCCTCACCCCTCTCGAGCTCCTCCCCCTCAACTCTTCCTCCTCCTCCTCCTCTCCTCCTCCTCCTCCTCGCCCCTTCCACGGAGGAGGGGAGAACTGTTCGCCATGAGTCGGCGCATGTCGCGCCTCGTTGCCTCGTCTCCCGCTCGGCGCATCTCTTGCATTTCGTGCGGGCGCGACCAGAGCTGGGGCGATCCACAGATAACGCTGTGCGCTGGAAGGCGTTGGATTCGTTCGGTGACCATCCAGATTGTTAGGGGGAGCCTCAGCATATTCGCCTCTATCGAATAACAAAAGCAACGGTGCACACGTAATTCCTCGGAGTTCCGCGCGGATCTCTTGGATCGGCGCTGGACCACCCTCCCTGGCGCGCGGAGCGCGACAGGGGCGGCGACGGAAGAGCCGCCAGGGGGGGGGGGGGCCATCGCCGACCCAGGGAATCCGCGCGGACTTCTGACAAATTGTGCCAATGCTTTTTTGTTGTGCTTCTAATGGGCAGCGATTCTGGGGAAACTCACGGCCTCCCAAATGGTGTCCGAGCAGGTGGGGTCGGAGGGTCGCGCCGCATCGCCGATGCATGCTCGGTATCTTATACATGCAGATGCAATCATGTATATTTGTATGCCGGTGTGTGCATATAGATATGTATACGTGACTTTGCACATGTGTGTACTGTAAACAAGCAGATGAGCATACTTATGTATACGTCGTAGTTGTATGCATGTGTATGCATGTATACATGCGTGTATGTATGTGTGTATGTACGTCCATCCGTACGTACGTATGTATGGGTGTACGCATGTATGTATGTATGCATGCATGTATGTGTGTATGTGTGTATGTATGTACGTATGCATGTATGCCTGTATGTATAGGTGTGTGTGTAAGTAAGTATGTATGTATTCTATTGTAATGTAATGCAATGCAATGTAATGTAATGCAATGTATTCTATTTTATGGGAATATAATGTACCATACTGTATGTACTGTGTGTATCTATGCAGGTATGTATACATGTACGCATGTATATGTGTATGTATGTATACGTGTATGCATGCATGCATGCATGCATGCATGCATGCATGCATGCATGCATGCATGCATGTATGTATGTATGTATGTATGTATGTATGTATGTATGTATGTATGTATGTATGTATGTATGTATGTATGTATGTATGTATGTATGTATGTATGTATGTGTGTATGGATGGATGGATGGATGGATGGATGTATTTATGTCTGTCTGTCTGTCTGTCTGTCTGTCTGTATGTCTGTATGTCCATAGACAGATCTCTACATGTATACATATATATACATATAGAGATATTCCACGGCCGATAGGTCACCGACTTCACAGATGCATCGACGATGCGGCACGATCTTTCGAGCCCACTTGCTCGGACCCAATGTGGGAGGCCCCCAGTGGCGGGGCAAGAAGCGGTCCGGGATGAAAATGTGGTCTTGGGGAACGCCTCAGGGTTTAGTTTTTTTTTCTTTGTTCTCTCTCTCTCTCTCGTCGTCGTCGTCGTCGTCGTCGTCGTCGTCGTCGTCGTCGTCGTCGTCGTCGTCGTCGTCGTCGGAGGAGGAGGAGGAGGAGGAGGAGGAGGAGGAGGAGGAGGAGGAGGAGGAGAAAGAGGAAACACCCGCTTCTGTCAAGTGTGACGGCGATGCCCTTCTCCCGTCCTGCCTTTGCGCCCCGGGCAGCCCCGGTGGGCCCTCGCCGCCCGGCTGGAGTGGCCTCAGAACTTCTGGCCCGAGAGCGCCCCGGGGAGAGGCTCGGAGAGCAGCGGGTTCGTGCCGCCATGTTCGGCCACGCGCAGGGGGGGGGTGTCCGGGGGAGTGGGGAAGGCTTCTTAGAAGCACCCGTTCTTCTTAGAAGGCGCGGGCCTTCTGTCTAGAGGGAAGGCCGGCGCCTTCTAAGAAGCAGCCTCCTTCCAAGAAGCCCTCCCCCCTCCCCCTACCCCCTTGGCGGCGCGCACAATGTGCGCGCCGCCAAGTTCCCCCCAGGCTCGGGGCGGAGAAGGGGGAACATCTGATGGGCCAACTCTCCACCCTCACTACCACAGGTAGGACGGAGGAGAAGGGAGAATGGGAAGGTATTCTTCCTCCTCCTCCTCCTCCTCCTCCTCCTTCTCCTCGTCTTCCTCCTCCTACCTGTCGTAGTGGTGGTGGGAACTCGGCCCATCAACATCGACCCCTTCCCGCCCATGCGCCGCCGATCGGGGCGTGGGTGCCCCACCGCCGTTCCCAGCAGCGTGCGGCCTTGCCGTTGGGGGCCTGCCCGAGGCCCTGGAGGCCCCTTGGAGGGCCTCCGCGAGGGAAGGCGTCTCCGAACGCCGCACCGGAGCCCGAACAGCAGCCAAAACGATATGCAATAATAGCAACAAATATTCGAGGGACGAATTTTTCTGACTATGGGTTCTTCTTCTTCCAAATCCGCCTCTAGGGGGACATGCCCGACTTAATTTTAAGGGGTGGTTTCGCCCGAGAATTTTTTTGCAATCTGCCAGGTCTGTCCTGCTTTCGGCGCAGTTTCGCCGGAGACGTCCTCGCTATCTGCCTGGTTTCGCCTGCGACTTCCCTGCAAGCTGCCGGGTCTGCCCTGGTTTCGGCGCGGTTTCACCGGAAGTGTTCTCGCAATCTGCCTGGCTTGTATTCTGTTCGGCGCAATTTCGCTTGAGACTTCCTTGCAATCTGGGTGGTTTGGCCTTGTTTAGGGCGAGGTTTCGCTTGATATGTTCTCACGACTGCCTTGGCTGTGCCTTGTTTGGGCGCGGTTTTGCTTGATACATCCTTACGTGCGATTCGGTTTGTAGGACCTTGTTTGGGGGCGGTTTCGCCTGAGATGCCCTTACGGCTTACCTGGTGCAAGTTCTGTGGCGCAATTTATTCGGTGCAATCTGTGTGGTGCAGGCCCACGTCGCCTCGCCCTCACTAATATGCGACCAGCTGCAAGACGGCGTTGGCCCGTGGATTGGCGTTCGGAGAAAATCTTCCCGAGCCTGTCGAGTCCCGACAAGGACCATGAACACCGAAGCACCTCGATCCTCGACACGCGGTCCTCCTCGCTTCCAGGCTGACATCCGTCCCCGAGCCAGTCCTCTGGAGGCCCAGCACGGGCCGGTGACGTCCAATCGGTCCTCGACCCTCCTTGATTCGAGGCCGATGCTCCCCCCCCCTCCCCAGGCCCCGACGCCGTGCTCTTTCGCCTGCAGCGTGGAGCCCCTGTGGCTCTCAGCCCCGGCCCCACAGAGCCAGCGCTCCACTCCCGAGCCCTGCCGATCGGCGGCCCCGAGGGCCCGGCGAGGGCCTCCAGGGCTGGAGCCCGGCCGAGGGCTTCCCGCCGCGGTCTCGCCCACGACGCGAAGGGGGTCGACCGCGCGCACGGAGGGGCCCTGCGCCGGAGGGGCCTCTGGTGCGGGCTCACCGGGGCCGCCCCGTGTCGCTGAGCGCGATGCGATCTAGCAGCGGCCCGCGTCCCTGGGTTTGGCCCCCTCGCGCCCCCCCCCCAAAAGCCGCGCACCAAAGGTCTCTCCATTGCCCAGGGTCGCTCTCCCAGACATGCGACGTCCTGTTTTTTTTCAGGACGGCGTCCCCGGAAGTCCAGGCCCTTTCCCTTGGGACCCGTTCTTCATCCTGAGTCGTTTTTGACGGTCCCGAGGGCTGGCGAGGGCCCCCCGAGGCCGAAATCGGCCCCAAGCCTCCCGCCCTGCTTTTTTCACGACGCGATCATGTCTGGGCTTGCGTGCAGCCGAGGGGGGGGGGTTCTGGGCTGAGCCGCCGCCCCCTTCCCCCGCCGCTGGGCTCCCCCCGCAGCGGCGTTGTGTACACAGATGGTGGGCCGAGCGGGCCGCGCTCGGCCTCGCCTGCGCCGGCCTCGCGGCGGCCGTTGGGCCTGACGCGGGGCGGCCGCGTGCGCTGCCCGGCACTCCACCGCGCCCGAGGCAGCGCCCGCCTGGCCCGAGTCGGGCCTGTCCCTCCACAGGAGGAATATTCAAAAATAGTCATAGTCTGGGGGCGTTCTTATTTTTGACCATTTTGGGACTATTTCTCGCTGTTCGTCCAGAGTCCGCCTGTAGGGGGACATGCCCGACCTGAGCCTGGCCGCGCCCATACTCCCTCGAACCATGGGGAAATCACGAGGGGGGGGCGTTCTGTCATTTTTGTTCGGCCTCCGGGGCCCCTTCTGCTGGGCCTCGGGGCCGTCGACGAATGTCTCGGGATGAGGGGCCGGTCCCGTGGAGTGGGTCGAGACCTTTGGGGGTCGGCTGTATCAGTGTGCAACATCATGACGTCGGGGGCCTGGGCGCCAGGAAGGGTGTGCACACCTTTCCTGGCCCCCTCCGGGCGGCTGCACGCAAGAGTGCCCAGAGAGGGCCCCCGCAGAAGCCGACGGCGGCCCAGGAGCCTCCCGCCGTGCTTTCTCCACGGCGCGAGCGCGTCTTGGGTTTCACTGCTCAGAGCGACGTCCGAAGCCTGCCCTCGTCGATCCACGGTCCAGGCAACTCCATGGGCGACGGGGGTTGGGCTCGGAATTCGCCGGCCACGCAGCGAAACCCGGAGCCTATTCCCCCTTCCCATCGACTCAGGAGAATCGATGGTTGGTGGGGGTCGGTTTCGGACGTCGCCACCGATCACGGGAGCCTCGTGTGTCCTCGAAGCTCCGTCTTTCGAGCGCGTTGGCGTGCGTGCGCTGGCGTCTGGCAACCGACGAGAAAGCGGCACGGTTCAGCGCCGACTGGCGTCGATTCAGTGTCGGTGAGCGTCGGTTAGCGTCGGCCAGCGTCGATCTCGCAGGAGCCGGCAAGGTGGCACGGGAGGCTCGCATGAGTTGCCGCAGAACACGAGGGGGGGGGGCCTTCTAAGGAGGCAGGAGGCTTCTCGAGAGGGGGCTGACCCCTTCGCAGAGGGGGGCCTCTGCGCACGCCTCGGGGTTGCCACAGAAGGGTCGCCCTCGGGGCCACAGGGGACTTGCCCGCTCTGGCTTGTTCCACGGGGCAGGGCTCGCACGCGGCCGCGGAGCTCGCGTCCGCGCACGCCCCGCGGTGCTGGGCTCTCTGCTGCGGGAGAAATTCGCCGCGCGGAAGACGACGGCACATATGTCTCCTCCTCCTCTCTCTCTCTCTCGCCTTGCTCCTCCTCCTCCTCCTCCTTCTCCTCCTCCTCCTCCTCCTCCTCCTCTACGTCCTCTATGTCCTATGAGGGTGCTGGTCGCATGCAACCAACACCTGCCTGCGGTTCCCTGGGGAACTACCCCAGGGCAAGAAGGGGACTGGACTTTGATGGCGTGGGCTTCTCGCCGAGGCCTTCTTGGAATCTCCAATGGGTCTCGAACACCCCCGTCCAGGTCCAGGGGAGGGGTGTGCAGGGGGCTGGAGGAGGAAACTCACTAAACCACTGATGCCGTACAGGGATGATCGGATTTGCTGCACTTGGGGTTTATCTAGAGAGGTTGATTCGGCAAAACCTGTTCGCGCGGGAAGATTTGCCGCTTTACATGGGCGCCTGCCGCACCGACGAGACCCCATTCAAGATGAGGTCGCCAGCGCCGAACTCGGAGCTGCCAGCGCGGAAAACATGCACTTCGTTTGTGGCCTTCTTTGCTGATGCCAATTGCACGCCGCGACCAACAGCTTACGTTGTTGCACCATGCCTTCCCCAAGCTGCAGGGCATAGAACGGACCGCTTTGGTGAGGGAGTTGTTGCAATCATAATCGAAGCTCGGCATGGTCTGTATGGAGGAAGGCAGGGTCACTGCGATCACTGGCAACACATCTAATTGGTCAAACTACATTGATAGATACACTGGGGAAGTTTTGATGCACGCGCGGTTTTGATCTCTTGCCTGATATCTGCGACAGCCGCTGCGAAGTACACAGTGTATCCGCTGCATCGATGGACGAAGGGCGACCGAACAATGAGCGAGATTGCGTTGCTCGAGGCATGCAGCGGATTCGCTTCTGCAGCACTAATTCTTCTTCGTCAAGCGAATGTCGGGCAAGACGTGCCGCCACGCCCGCGGTGCAGCGGACGCACGCCATGCGCGCTCATTGGCGCTGCCTGCCCCAGCCGACGCGGCTGCAATGGGGCCCGTGGCCCAAGCAGATGCCGCCGAAGGGAGCGAATGTCAAGAAGGTGATGCCGTTGGCGGTGCAGGAGCCGACGAGCAAGGCCGCGAGGAGGGCGGTTCGGGCGGCCCGCCCTGGGCAGAGGATGCGGAGGGACACCAACTTTCGCGCTGCAGAGAGGGGCCGGCGGCCTCGAGGCTGCCGCACCCCGTGCTGGCCAGAGTCGTCGTGGAGCCCTTGAGGCAGCACTTCAACGGCTGGCTTTCCCTCGCGGGCCAGGAGTGCAGTCGGCTCAAACCCGTGGCACGCCATCGATGCCTTCAGCGCCCAGCGCGTGATCGGTGCCGTGAGAAAGCGACGGCCCGCGATGCAGAGATTCAAGGACTTACTCAACAGTCGGCCCCGAGGAACCAGTGCTTAAGCAGCTCAAGACCCGAGAGGCTCTTGACCATCTTCCAGCCTCACTGCTTTGGACACCATCGCTCAAGGGACGATTGCCGACGCATCGGCTGGGCGCAGCGCCGTCGTCGCAGCCTTCACTCCCACAAGATTGACCCAGCAGTGTGCCAGAGAAACCGAGAAGAACAAAAAGAGGTGGAGCACATCGAATTCTTAAGGCCGTGGCAAGACGGGCCAGTCCAGGCGATCGTTGCAGACTTATTGGGTGACATCCCCGCGCTGAAGAACATGTGCAGCGACGTTGTCTGCCTGCTCGACCGCGTGCAGCACACCGTCCAACTTCAGCCCCGAGCATGCGAATGCTGAGAAGATACTTGCATGGTCTGCGGACCATCCTGGCCGCAACAGCCTCGCTTCGAACATGTTTGAAGACTGGAAACGGAAGCATCGGCCCATCTTGCATGCGACATGCCTTCCGGTCAACAGTGAGAAGAAGCCTACGGCACGAAGGTGTTTTGCTGCGGGTGCGTGATCGTGCTCACCTCACCGTTGCAACGCATATACTATGTGCAACAAGTTTCTGAGAGAAATGAAAAAGGCATTATCTGGCCGAAAGTTTTGCATTTAGAGGCGTTATTGTTTTACGTACGTATCGTTTGCATTTTCTGTGGTCACATGCCAGCTGTCGCCAACCCGTGGGAAGCTGCTGCGCTAGCTGGAGAGGGCCAGCCTGCAGAGGCCACCGACATCTGAAATGGTGCCACATCGGCTCGTACACTCTCAGCCCTTGTCATTCTGGCTCCGATCCGCTGGATCCTCGTCGTGATGGGCATGTCGAAGGTCCTTGTTTGCCTGGTGAGGTGCAGCCCCAGACGATTGCGTGCATAGGCCGACGACCTAAGTTTTCGCCATCACGCTATGAAGATAGGGTGCGCTGTCGTTTGAAAGGCGTTGCTTTCAATCCAGTTTGTGCTGTCTTTAGTTTTGCAACCCTGAAGGTGCGCGATCGTTTGGAATGCGCGTCGATGCGGGTGTCGGTCTAGCTTCTTCGTAGGCGAGGCTCGCGCGGCCCCTCGCCGATGTGAAGCTTTTCCCAGACGTCGACTAGATGTACCGGTGTCGCGTGCAATGGTACTGGGTGTTGGGGCATACCAGGGCTGTGATTGATGATTGTGGATGCGATGTGTCCGTTGCGCCCGTGGGAGCCACTGCTTTTTTTTCTGGGGGGGGGCGTGCAAGGGCAATGTCAAGATCGGCGATGGCGGCGCCTACGGGGGCGTCGACGAGGGCGGCGACGAAACCGACGAGGGCGGCGCCGACGAGGGGCGGCGACAATATGGAGGACGGCGACGACGTCTTCAAAGGCCGCGACACTGCGAGGCCAGGTTCTGAGCCAATTCGAACGGCGCAAACTGGTGGTCGCGGAGGAGGCGGGGGAACAAAAGGCGGGAAGAGGCAGACGTGGCGGAGAGGGGGGGGGGAGGGGGCGGGGGAATGGGGGGAGGAGGAATGGGATGGGGGAGGAGTGAAGGACGTCTGGCGGCGCCCCCCGCCCTTCCTAGCAACCATGCGGTGCTATTTTGGGTGGTCTTGAACCCCCTGAGCGGTCGAAGGGGCTTCTTGGGCCGTCTCGAAATTTTGCTGTCGCATTCTCGGGATGCCCAGTAGACTATCCAAGCGCGTCCTGGCCGTCTCGGTGACCTCTTGAACCGCGCTGTGTGGGCTCGCGTTTGACAGCGGAACGGCCTTGGGTGGTGAGGGGGGGGTCTCTGAGCCGTCTCTGGGCGAGCACGGGGGCTTCTAGGCTTGCTTTGGCCAGCCCGAAGCAAGGGCAGCCGAGCAGGCGAACACATTTTTGGGTCACATGCTTAAGGGTGTTGGAAACATGATGCTTCTTGAAGCCTGCCTGGGGTCGACCGCGGCGTCCCCCGAAGTGCCGACCCTCTCTTCTGGGCGGCTTTTCATTGTGGCTGGCCAGTCATTTGACGGTTTCGGGGCCCGGCGAGTGCCCCCAGAGGCCGAACACGCAAAAAGCTTTCCCGTCGTGCGTAGCATCTCATCGGAACCTCATCTGTCTTCGAAGCTCCAACTCGAGAGTGCGTTAGCGTGCGCTGGCGTCTGGTAGTCGGTGAGAAAGCGCTGCTTTAGTGTCGATTCGGCATCGATTTGGCGCCGTTTGGCGTCGATAAGCGTCGGCAAGCGTCGGTTCGCAAGAGCCAGCGAGAGCCACAGAACCGTCGCGTTTTCTTCGCGACGCGCGCCTGCCTGGGTAGTTTTGTGTCCGGGCCCCGGGGCCCGGCGAGGGCCAGAGGCCTCCCGCCGTGACTCCTCCACGGCGCGAGCGCGTCTTGGGTGTCACTGCTCAGAGCGACGTCCGAAGCCTGCCCTCGCCGATCCACGGTTCAGGCAACTCGCAGGGCGACCGGGGTTGGGCTCGGAATTCGCCGACCACGCAGCGAGATCCGAAGCCTAACCCCCCTTCCCATCGACTCAGGAGAATCGATGGTTGGTGGGGGTCGGTTTCGGATGTCGCCACCGATCACGGGAGCCTCGTGTGTCCTCGAAGCTCCGTCTTTCGAGCGCGTTGGCGTGCGTGCGCTAGCGTGTCTGCGGTGTCTTCGCGGCGCGGGCATGCCTGAGGCCTGGGCGCGCCCTCTGGGCAGCCCCGGGGGTGCAGAGCCGCCCCCGCCACGCCCGAAGGCGCCGTCGCGCTGGCGCCCCTGGGCGCGGCGGCGCCCGCGCGGCCCGACGGCGGCTCGATCTTCCCGCGGGAGGCGCTGGACCTCGCGTGCGGCGCCCCGCGTCCGCCTCCGCCAGGGGGGGGGGGCCGTTCTGAAAAAGGGTTTTTTGGCATTCTCATGCGCAGCTGTGTTCGAGAGCTGGGGGCCCTTCGTTTGCGTCGTCGCTCGCTCGCTTGCTCGTCGCCTCCCCCCTGGTCCCCCCTGCCCTTGCCTCCTCATGGTGGTCATGATGGCCCCAGGGGAACACCAGGCTGGCCCCAAGAACCCCCCCCCTCCCCACTCCACCTCGCCTGGCCCTCGCCCTCTTTCGTTCAAGAGCCAGGGCATGCGTGCCACTTGTTCCCGGGCGATAGCGGACGTTACCGGGGGGGCGGGAGCGGGGGGCCAGTAACGTGACGTTTCGCGCCGGCCGTCTGGGGAGGTCTGGAAGTAACCAGAGGCAACGCGGAGATCAGCACGATTCGTGACGTTGCCTGGGGGGCTGGGGCGGCCAGCGCTGGTAACGGCCGCTGTCGCGAAACTATAAGAAAACGCTCGTGGGGTTGGTGGATTCGGCGCGAGGGAGGTGGACTTACAGTGGGAACCCATGCCAAGAAGCACCCTGCTTGCCTCCAAGGTGCCCTGGGTTTCTTAGGTCTGGATGGTTTTGCTATGGAAAGCGTGACGTTCCCACACCAAAAATCAATGGACTTCCTGGGGTCGCAGGGTTGGGCTTCTTCTAGAAGGTTTCTTGTGGTCGAGCTCCCACTGTAGGGGCCTTCTTAGAAGGGCCTGGTGGGTTCCGAGAAGGCTTCGTAGAAGCTGGGAGGGCTTCTAAGAACCCCCCCGCCATGCCTTCTCCGAAGCACCCCCGGCCGTCTCAGGAGATCGCCCCCCCCCCCCCCCTTTTTCCCCCATGGGACTCGCGACGAGGCGAGTTCGCTGGAAGCCGAGCCCAGGACCCGCCCAGACATGCTCGCATCGTGGAACAATCACGACGGGAGGTCCTTCGCCGTTTTCGGCCTCCGGGGGCCACTGCTGGGCCCCAGGATTGTCAAACACGGCTCAGAGCGAAAAGCCGGCCTCGGGGAACGAATCGGGACTTCGGGAGACCCCATACTAAAAAGTCAACGCGTCGCAGGTCTGGGAACACATCAGTGGCACCCGAGTCGCAGCATGGGCGGGGGCCACCATCGACAATCATCGGGACACAAACAGACGCCAGCCAGGTTCGCAACGCCCGCGGGGTTCGCCGCGCGTACCAGGGCACTCAATCATCCTTGTCCAAGCGTGATGCAAAATGATCTAGGAGCGCCCGCGCATGGCTCAAGTTTTGCCGCAACGTGCACTTTGCAAGTGTGTTTGGCAGGGATGGTGTGCCAGCGCACTTGGGGCGATATGATAACACCCCCTCGTCCCCGTTAAAAAGAGAATGGGAAGTGGTTGCGGGGCGCCCGAACACGATCCAGATTATGCCGACACGCGTATTGTGCTCTGTTGTTTCGACAGGGGTGGTGTGGGGGGATTCGGCATTTACCCTGGTCAGGCTTGGGAGGTTCGGAGAGGGGGCGTATTCAAAGAAGGAGCAATGGTGAAGCCCTGCGCGAGCATAGGAACAAGGGGCAGTGTTGGAGGAAGGATCCGCTTCCTTGTGAAGTAGCGTGGCTGAACGATACACCACACACGCTCACACCACACACATCCACGCGCACACACGCACACACGCACACACGCACACAAGCTCACACGCACACGCGCGCACGCGCATACACGCACACTTTCAAGTCGGCGGCGCAGGGGGTCCTCAAGCGCGAATAGCAGACGGAAGTACTAATTGCAATCGATCGTTGTCGAAGGCGCAGCGCACAGAGCGTCGCACACTGCAACATGCAAACGATGGATGTGTTAGAGGAACTGGCACACACGCACACGCACACGCACACACACACGCAACACACGCACACACGCACACACAACACACACACACACAACACACAAGAACACAACACACAACGCACACACAATGCACATACGCAGAACACACAAGAACACAACACACACACAACACACAACACACAACACACGCACACACAACACTCGTTGGCAAGAGCCGCGCCGCCGAAGGCCACCGAGGGCCGCCCAGCACTGCCCAGGGGGCCGCCCAGGGGGCCGCCGAGGGCCGCCGACGAACGCCCGCCCGCGCGGAGGCGCCGCTCGGCTCCGCAACCCGCTCTGCCAGTGCCGCGGCACGCCGCGGCCGTTCCTGGACCGCTGGGGCTGCCGCCGAGTCCTGCCGACGGGCGGCCCCCGGGGGAGGCCGCCCGGCGGCCCTCGCACGGCGGCGGTTCGGCCGCCGGACTCGAGGGCCGAGGCTCGAGGGTCGAGGCTCCTGGACGACGGGCTGCGAAGTGCGAGGCGTGAGGATCGAGGCTGTTGGGCGGCCTGGAAGCTGCTTGGCGCCAGAGGGCGCCCAGGGACCTCCGGAAACCTCTGGGGGTCGTCGTCGTGGTCCTGCTCCACGTGCCGTCCTGCTGTCGCCCCCGCTCTCGCTCTGGCTCCTGCGGCCGCTCCTCCTGCTTCCGGGGCTGCTGCTGCTGCTGCTGCTGCTGCTGCTGCTTCCGCTCCTAGTCCTGCTGCTGCTTCTCGTGCCGCTGCCGCGCTGCTCCCGCTGCTGAGCTGCCCCCACTTGTATTCTGTGCTCCTGGCCCTGGTAGTTATATACGGTCAGGAACTATGGCTTAGCGTGCCGTGCCGCCGGTTCTGGCCCACCACGCCTCGGCGCGACACGCCCACCACGTCTCCGTTTCCAAGCGTCAACGCTCCGAACCCTTCCCAGCCTCCCGCCACGTGGAGCGGAGAGGCACACTATCCGCTTGCAGAGCAGACAGTGTCGCCAGGGCCGCCGCCGTGACACGCTAAGCACAAGTTCCTGCCCTTATGCACCAGTGAAGGAATGAGTAGCCATGCAGCAGCGACAGAGAATTCTGCGCCAGCGTGCAAGTGCATCACTACTGCTATAGTGCACAAGGCAAAGACAATCGACCTGGTGTGTTCAAGTAGCGAGGAATTGTCGGAGGGACATATAGCTGACCACCAGTGACAGTGCAACGTATTAGGCATAACTGGATCGAGGAAGAAACAGTTAGGCAAGATCGAACAATCAGTCATGCATCACAAGGGGCGGCGTAACGATATACTACCATGTGATGCTTCGCACAGGGAGCGCGTCGTCACCCTCGTCGTTTTCAGCGCGAGCCCACATGTGCTCGGGATGGCCTTTCGGCTCTGTTAGGTCTCGTGGCGGCACAGGAGGCTGTGTCGTTCCATTCCGACGCCTCCCTGTCCGCCCCCTCTCTGCCTGGCTTCTGCTGCCGTTGGCGGAGTCCCCCCCTCCCGCTCCCCCGTCCCCCGATCCCCTCCCTCCTCCTCCGCGCGCGGGCCTCACCGCGGGGACGGTGACTCCTCCTCGGACTAGACTTGTTTTGTTTTGACGGGCTTTTGTCCCTTCATGGTATTCCTGGTATTCCCCTCACTCCTCCTTTTCCACTTCCTTTCTTCCCTCCACGACTACAGCCACGACTACAGTCAACCCGCACAGTAAGGATGGGCAACCTCCCCCAAGGGTACCCTTGCATCCTTGCCTCGTCGGTCCATCCTTGGCCACTTTCGTTGGCCGTGCCCCGCCCGAAAAACTTCGAAATGAGCGTCCAAGGCCCTTGCATCCTTATCGCGCATCCTTGAATACGGGCCGACTGTACTGAATGTGAGTCTTATTATTATTCTCTGATTTTGGTTCTGCCCGAGCGGGACGCTTCTCCTCAAACATATTGCGAACGCGCAAGATTACACTTTTGATATGTTCTGTTATCTACATCAAGTTCATCCCCAAACAGTTGTTTGCTTTAAATGGTCACCCAACTGCAGCGCTGGCCCCATTTTTTCGGAATCCTCTTGTTGCTTCCGTCGTTCAGAACGGTGAGCTCGTCCCAGCTCGGGCCACATTTCTGGATCCGACTCCTTCCTCGTCGTTGTCGCCCCCCCCCCCCCCTCGCTTTTCTTCTCCGCCTCTTCCTGGTTTTCCTGCTCCTCCCGCGCCTCCTACTCCTACTGCTGCTGTTGCTCCTCCTTCTTCTCATCCTTCCTCCATATCATCTTTAACCACCGCAAGAGACCAACGTTACGTCTTCACCTTGGTCCAGTCGGCCCAAGACGGAATTACTTGGTCGATACTCGATCACCAATACATCCACAGTGCATGCCAGCACACGACTCACTCAAACGCTTCGCCGGCATTCGCAAACAGGATCCCCTCTTCCTCTTCCCCCCTCGGTCGTTTCTTTCATAGTGCTTAGCAGGCGCGCTGTATGTTTGTATTTTCCCAAGAGGCCATGGCCCCCCCCGTCTGGTCGCAGCGCAGCCGCGCCCGGACGGCCGTCCGCATTGATCGTTCGTTCGTTCGAACTTTCCTGTTCATCCCCATGCTCCACCGCCACCTCCTCTCGGAAAGAACGAACTCGGTACGTAAAGAATGGGTACAATGCCCAACAGCAGTTCTTGTTCATTTTGAACAGGACTCGCTGTTGGTGTCGCCGCGGCCTGTGTCCATTTGAGACAGGAGGCCGCCTGGCCAACAGCGGCCGCTGTTTGTTTGAGAAAGCATTTGTTGTTGGGCATTGTACCAATTTTTTTCCGTACCCCTCTCGGGCGTCCAAATCCTCGTCCGACCTGCAGAGCTCCCCCTTTGTGATTGCGCATCGCACGATCGGGTCGTCTTGGGGATCCAGGCCCGCTATATATATATATATATATATATGTATATACATTTATGATGCCAGTCGGCGGGCAGAGAACACATCAGCGCAACGTGGAGGGATGGTCTGCGGGGGGTCAGCCGGGCGCTCAAACGGCGCATTGGCGAATAGAACGATTACCGAACTCAATGGTGCTACCCTGCGGAGGGAGGGAAACAATAGGCGGGGGAAGAGAAGGAGGAGGAGAGGGATAACAGAGAAAGCACACTACGAGTCAATGCTCTGGAAGAAGCTCCAAACCGCAAGGGTGGCAGATGTGGCGCGCGCACCTGGCTTGCCGGTTCTCCCTCTCTCTTATGCCTCCCCACCTTCGCCCCTCCCCCCCCTCCCGAGAACCACGATGTCATAATATTGTCATAATGTCGACCCCCAGAGGTCTCGACCCGTCCCCCGGGACCGGGGCCTCCTCCCGAGCACTCACTTTGCAGCCCTCTCAGAAGGAAAATGCCTTCTCAGAAGGCGGCGGGGCTTCTCAGAAGCCCTCCGGCCCTCTGAGAAGTGCCTTGTGTCTTCGAGGAGGGCTTCGAGAACTCCACAGAGGGTCGGGGGACTTCCGAGCCTTCTATTCTGAGAACCCAGACCCCCTGACGCGGTGATTTTTTTCACCACGTCGACCCCCAGAGTTCTGGACCCCTTCCCCGGGACTGGTCTTTCATCCTGGGGGGGGAAGGAGGAGCAGGAGCAGGAGCAGGAGGAGGAGGAGGAGGAGGAGGAGGAGGAGGAGGAGGAGGAACAGGAGGAGGAGGAGAGGAGGAGGAAGAGGAGGAGGAGGAGGAGGAGGAGGAGGAGGAGGAGGAGGAGGAGGAGCAGCAGGCGCGCGCCTCAGAGGGTATGTCGTTTTCGGACGGTCCCGAGGGCCGGTACGGTCCCCCATGGCGAAAACCCCCCGTCGTGATTTGTTCACACACCGCGAGGGGCGGCGCGGCGCGCCGCTCCGCCCTTCGGGGCCGCGGCGGCTCGCGCGAGCAGCCCGAGGGGCCACCGCTGGGCGGGGCCCTGGCGGATCGGAGCCGGGCGACGCCGCCGCGGCCGCGCGCGGCCAGCCGGCAGCGGCTAGGCGGGCGGACCGCAGACGGTCGCCGCCGCCGCTGGCATCGCTGTTGGCATCACCGTCGTCGCCGCCGCCGCCGCCGCCGTCGGCATCGCTGCCGCCGTCGTCGCCGCTGCTGTCGCCGTCGGCGTCGCCGCTGGCATGGCTGTCGGCATCGCCGCCGTCGTCGCCGTCGTTGCCGCCGCCGCGGCGTCGCCGTCGGCATCGCCGCCGTCGGCATCGTCGTCGTCGTCGTCGTCGTCGTCGTCGTCGGCGTCGCCGTCGTCGTCGTCGCCGTCGTCGTCGTAGCCGTCGTCGTGCCGCTCCTGCTCCTCGTGCTGCTGCTGCACCTGCCTCCCTGGGCTGGTCCCCGCCGCCCCGCTCGTGTCGGCTCCCCTCTCCGGCCGGGCAGGCCGGGCCTTGGAGCCACTGGAGGGCGAGGCTTAGAAAGACAACAATCGGATTGGGAGGATGGGGATGGGAGAGATGGTCAGATCATCCGTACTGTCGCGCATGTCGAGTGTGCCTACTACGCCGTCGTGCATTTTCTCTAACCCATCTCCCCAACCCGATAATCGTCTTTCTGAGAGGCGGCAGCGGCGGTGGCAGGTCGGGCAAGAACATCCTGGCCCAGCACCCAGCCTTTTATATTTTAGCTGCAGTGGAGGAAGAGTACCCATACTGCTACCCTTTGCCCGTTTTCCCCTTTGTCGCTTTCCTGGGAGGCCCTCGTCGCCACCGTTGGATTCGCCTCGACATTTCGGTCACAACGCACCCTGGGAGAAGTCCGGCGAGTAGTGGTACCAGTGCCTTTTGATATCCTCACATCCTGGCCGGCACCCAGCCTTCTAGCTGTCCGACGTGCCCAGACATACGTCGCGAAAAATGAGGACGGGAGGCTGTTCGCCGTTTTCGGCCTCAGGGGGCCCTTCACGGCCCACGGGGAGAACACAGTCCCCGAGGAACGGGTCGGGACTTCGGGGGACCACGTGCTGAAACAATCAGGGCATCGGACATCCTTGCCGGGCACCCAGCCTCCTACAGTCGGGGCGCTAAAGAAGGAGCCCTTTTCGTTGGGGAGGGGCTCCGTGTTCCTTGATAGCTTCACAATTTGCCTTGGGTTTTTTCCTTTGATTGTTCGATGGGAAATCGAAGTTCAACTTTTGGGTAGAAGGGGCCTGGTTCCTTATTTAGGGTTCCTTGGGTCAACGCCCCGACTGTAGCTGTCCGACGAGAGGGCCCAGGACGACGTGATCCTGCCTCACGCGCAGTCCAAGCCAGGCGTCGCCGTCACCGGGCGCTGCCGCGCGTGCCCGCACGGTGTGGTGACCACCCCGCGCGGCGAGTCAGTCGGGTTCGGGGACTCGGGTCGTTCTCCGAGGGCGTCTCGGGCGACTGGGGGATCTGGGATCCCGAGGCCGTTTGGTGCCCAGACATGATCGCGTCGTTAAAAATCAGGACGGCTAGTTTTTCTTTCTTTCTGGCCCATGGGGGCCCTCGCCGGGCCCCGGGACCGTCAGAAACGACTCAGGATGAAAAACCGGACCTGGGGAAAGGGTCTGGACTTCCAGGGACGCCGTCCTGAAAAAATCAGGACGTCGCACGTCTGGGGGTCGTCCTCCGAGGGCGTCTCGGGCGACACAGGGGGATCTCGAGTCCCAAGGCCGTTTGGTGACGGACCGTGCGGTGAGGTCTCTTGGGGTTCCGAGGTTCGGGTCGGGCGAAAAGGGGGGATTGGGAAAGGGGGGGTTACGAAATTTGCTGCATGCAGCTGGTTTCGGCCTCACCGAGGGGCCCATTCCTCGATACATAGCGCCTCCCGGCGCCGGGAGGCGCCGGGAAAATCAGCTACGTGAGCTGATTCTCAAACCCCCCCTTTGCTATCCCCCCCTTTCGCCCGACCCGAGAGGTCACCGCGCGGTCTCTCGCCGCACGGCTCGGGGACCTCCGGGTCTCTGGCCGGGCCGGCGCGGCCAGGGGCCCCCTCGCCCGAGGGCGGGGCGGCGGCGGTGGCAGGTCGGGTGCGAGCGGCGCCAAGCTTCGGGCCAGGCCCGCCCAGCTGCGGCGCGCCTCCTCGAGGCGAGGCGGCAGCCCTGGTCCCCACTCGCGGGCGCCCAGCTGCGGCGCGGGACGACGCCGAATGCTGGACCAAACAGGGTCGCGGCTCACGCGCGAGGGCGGGCAGGGGAGCGGCGGCGGCCCGAGGCGCGGACGCCGCAGAACAGCGGGGTGCCGAAGCCACTGGGGCCCCAGAGGGCGTCCACGGCCTTGTCCGGTCGGCCGCGTCGCGGTCGGCCGCGCTTGGGCGGACTGCCTCGGGCGGTTGCCCGCGCCCTGCTCGGCGCTCCTCGGGCCGCTGGGTTCGGTCGGCCTCGGCTTGTGCCGTCGGCTCGGCGGTCGGTCTTTGGTCTTGCTGTCGCCGTCGGGTCAGGTGTCACACGCGGGGTTGCACGCGCTGCTGTGGAGAGGCTTCTGAACCTCGATTGGGTCACAGGCCGTGTTTCGCGGCGCGGGGTGGATACTTGCACGGGCGCCTTCTAACAGGCTGACGACCGCAACGGCGACGCCGCCGATGATAACTGCGACGACTGACGTGTCAACGGCATCGGCAAGGATGCGCGCTGTGCAAAGGATGTTGGCGCTGATCATGACGAGGTGGCTAACGAAAGCGGTGATGTTGATGTTCGTCGTGGTGGTGACGACGACGATTTTGGTGCTGCACGTGATCACGGGGATTATGCTGGAGACCGTGGCGGCGACGCTGATGATTGTGATGGGGATGGTGATGGTGCTGGCGGTGGTGACGGTGATGACACTGACGGAGGCGCCGACCACAATGATGATTACGTTGCTGCTGCTACCTGTGATGATGATGCTGATTCTGACGATGATGATGTTGCTGATGATGATTATGATGATGTTGATGCTGATGCTGATGCTGCTGCTGTTGCTGCTGATGATGGTGGTAATGATGATGAAAGGGCGAGGGCGAGGGGGAAAGGGGGAGGGCATCAGGATAATCACGGTCGTTGTGAGATGGGTATCTACAGATTTGTTGCCAGTGATGGTGGTGATGTTTCTGGCGACTCGAGGAAGGAGCGAGGCAGCAGATGGAGGAGGGGCTGGGGGGAAGCAGGAACGAACGAAAAAGGAACAAACGAGGAGAACAGAGGGGTAAGTCTGAGATGGGAGAGGATAACGACCGATGATGATGCAAACGAGGATCATGGCGTCGAGGATGCTGATGATTCTGACGATGGTGGTTGATGGTGTTAATGATGGCGGTGGTGATGGTATGATTGTTAATCATCATCCAGTGTATAGGTAGGATGGTGAAATTGTCCTGATAATGCGCTTGATGATAGGATGGTTGCGGCGATGATGACGGTACTGATGACGATGGCGACGGCGATCATAATGGAGATGATGACGGGGCTTGTGGCAAGGGGTTAGTGAGTATAACGAGAAGGATAACGAGGGCAATCGATTAGGAGGATCACGACGGATCCGATTGAAAAATACTACGGTGGTTGTTAAACTATCGATGGTGTTGCTGAGGAAGATGAGGAGGGGTGGTAAGGATTGGGGCGTTCTTGGACCCTGACCCCGAGAGGTCCCCAGATGTGTTAGGAAGCCTCTGGCGACTCTGGAAGGCCCACTAGGCAGAGACCGAGCTCCGTGGACCTCGGTCTCCTATGGTCGAGGATCGACGAGGAGGAGGAGGGGGGGAATCCTCTCGTTTTTGACTTCGCAGACTCGACATCTGATCTTAAATCCATCCGTGTTGCCTCCCACGCGTTGGGAACGTGGACTCGGCTTTGCTAGGCCTCAGCTCTGAGGCGTGGCCCAAGCAGGTACGGAAGAACAGTGAATGACCCCACATCAGCTGACTTGGTATTTGGTCTCTCCGCCGTTACGGACAGAAGATTCTAACGATCACCCCGCCTGGAGGAGGGGGAGCATCCCGTCCGCCGTTGACGAAGAGGCGCGCCCTTGCGGGCTCCCCGTCGGCCCAGGCCGAGTCGCTGGCAGAGCCGCGGAGACCTCCTATATATACACATATATGCCTATACGACCACCCTTCGGGTGATAAGGAGGTCCGGGGGGGTGAGGAACCAACGTCTCACTCGGTCGGTCTCACTATCGATCTCACTATCGATCTCACTATCGGTCTCGCTCGATCGATCTCACTCGATCGATCTCACAATCGATCTCACTCGATCTATTTCATTCGATCGATCTCACAATCGATCTGACGATCGATCTCACAATCGATCTCACTATCGATCTCACCATAGATCCCACAATATATCTCACATTCGGTCTCACTACCGATCTCATTATCGATCTCACAATCGATGTCACAATCAACGTCATCATCACCAACATCATCGTCATCATCATCATCGGGGCACCACCATCATCATCATCATCATCATCATCATCACCTCATCACCGTCATCATCATCATCATCACCATCATCATCATCATCATCATCATCATCATCATCATCATCATCGGGACACCATCATCGTCACCATCATCATCAACCTCATCCTCATCGGGACACCATCATCATCATCGGAACACCACCGCCATCATCAACATCATCAGCATCATCTCACCATCATGAACATCATCCACACCATCACCATCCGGACACCATCATCATCATCAGCAACATCATCATCATCATCATCATCATCACCGGGACACCATCATCATCACCAACATCAGCATCATCATCACCATCATCGGGCCACCATCATCAAAATCAGCATCATAACCTCATCATCGTCGTCATTTTCAACATCACCATCATCATCGGGGCACCATCATCGTCATCATCACCAACGTCATCATCATCATTGGGACACCATCATCATCATCACCATCTGCATCATGAACAGCGTCATCATCGACCTCATCATCATCAGCGGGACACCATCATCATCTTCAGCAACATCAACATCACATCAATTCATCATCAACAACATCATCATGATTATCAACATCATCATCACCATCGGGACACCATCATCATCGTCAGCATCATCATCATCATCAACACCATCATCATCGGGACACCGTCATCATCACCACAATGGCCATCATCATTATCATCATCATCATCATCGGGACACCACCATCGTCACCATCATCATCATCATCAACCTCAACATCATCATCGGGACACCATCATATTCATTGGAACACCACGATCATCATCATCATCAACGTGATCATCATGAACAGCATCATCATCATCATCATCATCATCATCATCATCATCATCGGGACACCATCATCATCAGCAACATCATCATCATAATCGGGACTCTATAATTCATCGTCACCATCATCATCACCATCAGCATCATCGGGACACCATCATCATCATCATCATCATCATCAACATCAGCATCATCACTATCGGGCCACCATCATCAAAATCATCATCACCTCATCGTCATCCTCATCATCAACATCATCATCATCACCGGGACACCATCATCGTCATCATTATCATTATCAACGTCGTCATCATTGGGACACCATCATCATCACCACCATCATCATCATCAACAGCATCATCATCAACCTCATCATCATCATCACCATCGGGACACCATCATCATCAGCGTCAGCATCATCTTCATCACCATCATCATCTCATCATATCATCATCATCATCAACATCATCATGATCATCAACATCATCAGCAGCATCATCGGGACACCATTATCATCACCATCATCAGCAACATCAGTTTTTTCAACATTATCATCATCGGGACACCATCATCATCACCACCATGGCCATCAGCATCAACATCAACATCATCATCATCATTATCATCGGGACACGGACGGGACACCGGCGGGACACCGGCGGGACACCGCGAGCCACTGGCCCCCAGACAGGAAACATTTGGTCCGGCCGCGCCTCAGCCAGAGGCGGGACACTTCTCGCCCGCCCATGCAGCCTCGCCTCGCCCGCACGCACGGCGCGCACGGACACGAAACCGAAACCGATTTCCCGGTAGGGGGACTCTCCGTTCCACTTCGATCTCACCCCCTCACCTCCGATATAATATCTACGTGTATGTATATGTAGATATGTAAGGCAATGGCACTTGCCAGCCTGCCAGCGGGCGCCGCACCCCGCCCTGGAGCCGGGCCAACGAAGGGAGGAGGAGGAGAAGGAGGAGGACAAGGACGACGACGACGACGACGACGACGACGGCGACGACGGCGACGACGACTTCGACGACGGCAACGTCTTCGACGACGACGACTTCGACGACGACCACGAGGCAGCAAGGCGTCTGCCTTCGGTCTGGCCGGGCACGCCGCGGAGGCCGCCGCCCTCCGCGCCCCTGCCGCAGTGGGAGCCCGTGGACGGCGACGGCGTGGATTGGAAGGCCCCTCGTCGTCGTCGTCGTCGTCGTCGTCGTCGTCGTCGTCGTCGTCGCCGCCGTCGCCGTCGCCGTCGTCGTCGTCGTCGTCGTCCTCGCGCTCGCCCTCTTCGCGTCCTCCTCCTCCCGCCCCTCCTCCTTTCGTTGATGTTTGGCGCGAGCGGTGCGCATAGCCACCTTGTGGGGGCACTCCTGAGCGTGAAGCTCAGGCGGACATCTTTCGCTCTCTCGCTCCCGCCTATTCCAGCTGCCGCCGTGCCGTCAGTGGAAGCAGGTATTTCCAAGTTCTTTGCGAAGCTAGACGCTTTCAACGCCCGCATGGGCCAGATGGACGTCTCGATCGGCACGCTCGAACCGTTCAGGGCTGTAGAAAGGTGGAACCATGCGCCAACTGAGCCTTGGTCTTACCGCCGTGGAGAAACGAGCCAACTCGTCCGTCCACACGGCCAACGTCCAGTCCATGATTGTCAGGATCGCAACCCGTCTCTCGTTAGTGGAGTCTTTGCCTTCAGCCTCTGCTGCATCCGGAGGTGGGTCACCCGCTCCGCCGCGTACGCGCCGCAGATTGTCCGAACCTTCTGAAGAACGTCGTACTAGTGATGACTTCAGTGTTTGCAAGGATGGGTGGGTGGTTTCACCAGGCCTATGTTAGCCACGGCGCTCCAGAAACACTACAACGACCTTTTTTTCCAGGCTGCCTACTCGCATTCGCCAGGTGGGCATCGTCGTCAAGCGTGACAGTTTTTGCAACTCCTACTCCCACCACATTCAGCAGCAGCCTAGATGCCACCTCGTGTGTGGACCCCGGGTGTGCCCATGGCTCCTCTGTGTCGACCCGTTCATCCAGTCCAAGATCATCTTGCGCTGCAGACTGGACGCCCCCAATTCTGGCAGGCAAAGTAGACAGGTCTTCGTCAATATTTGGCAGGCAGTGTGTGCGCATCTCAACCAGTTGAGGCAACGGGAAACTCACAAGCTCGTAGTGGATGGATGTCGCGGCATCCTCTTCATGTCAGTCGGTGAAGTCGTCCACAAGCATTCCGTTATCAAGAAAGACGACCTCGGTCCGCATGGCATCGTCGCGACACCCTCAGGCATGAGTCACTTCAGCATTTCGTCTTCCTACCGCCCCCTTCCTCTGCTCCTTGTCTGGCGGAGCAGGACGAGGACGGGGAAGGAAGCGACAGGAGAGGAAGGGAGGGAGAGGGAGGAATGTAGAAGGAGGAGTGGGAGGCGGAAGAGGAGGAGGAGAACCAGTGTAAACCCAAGGCTCATCAGCGATGTTCGAATCCACTAGCCCTCAAGCTCTCTCTTCATAGGCCTCTTCAAGGGTTCATTTCCACAGGGAATTGCCCCGTTGGGAGACAACCGTGTGAAAATCTTGAATCGTGCCGTCACGCCGTTCTCAGGACTTCAACGCCACGAGTTAACCTGACTGTTGCGTCTTGGCGATTCTGAACCGTGCCAGAACATCATTCCTGGGACTTCAACACCGCGAATCAACGTAATTCTTGCGCCCTAACTATCCTGAGTCGTTCCAAAGAACCGCTTCCGGTACGTTAGGTTTTTAGAGCGGATGCACGCGGCGCTAAGGCGACAGCCACATTTTGAAGATGGGCCGCCCTCATTCTGTGAAGTTCTTGCAGTTTTAGGGCGAATGAGCGCGGCGCTAAGGCGAGAGCCACATTTTGAACGCCACCCGCCCTCAATCCGTGAAGCTCTTGCTTTTTTATTAAACGAATGTGCGTGGCGCTAGAGCGAGAGCCACATTTTGAAGACGACCAGCCCTTCATCCATGACTCGCAATGTTTTACAACGAATACGCGCGGCGCTCAAGCGATATCCACATTTTGAAGACGACCCGCCATCTATCCGTGAAGCTCATGCACATGTTTGAAACGAATGTGCCGGCGCTCAGGCGAGAGCCACATTTTGAAGTTGACCCGCTCTCAATCCATGAAACTCTTGCGAATTGTTAAAACGAGTGTTCGCGGAGCATCGGCGAGAGCCACATCGTGAAAAACACCCGTCTTCAATGTGTGAAACTGTTGCCAGTTCTAAAGCCAGGTCGCCACATTCAAGGAAGTTCCAGGCGAAACGCCCGGTCCGCCCTTCCAACTGGCCTCGGAGTGCGACAGGGAGGAGCTATTCATGAGGAAACGGAATGGAGGAGGATCAGGAGGATGAGGATGAGGAGGAGTAGGTGGAGGAGGAGGAGGAGGAGACAGCGGCGGAGGGAGGACGGAGGAAGATGTGGATGAGGAGGAGGAGGAGGTGGAGGAGGAGGAGGATGGGGAGGAGGAGGAGGAGGAGGAGGAGGAGGAGGAGGATGAGAAGGAAGAGAAGGGCCGCCCAGGTGGGGCCAGAGCAGACGGGGTCGCACGATTGCGGCGCATCGCCAGTGCAGTGGCGACGGGGCGCGATCCTCTGACCCCGTCCGCTCGGCCCCCAGCTGGGCGGCCTCCCTGAGCAGGGCGTGAGAATGTTCGGCGATGGGCGAGCAGAAAGGGGGGGGCCGAGCCTGTCAGGCCATGTTCGCCTCCGAGCCCACGCCGCGCTTCATCCGCGCGGCCTCGCCGACGTCCGCCGCCCGCGGGGGTCCCCTCGCCCCCCCCTGGTTTCGGGCACAGGAGAGCTGCGCGCGCGAGTGCGTGTGTGTGTGTGCGTGTGTGTCTGTGTGTGTGTGTGTGCGTGTGTGTGTGTGTGTGTGTGTGTGTGAATGTGTGTGAAAATGTGTGTGTGCGTGTGTGTGTGTGTGTGTGTGTGTGTGTGTGTGTGTGCGTGCGTGCGTGCGTGCGTGCGTGCGTGCGTGCGTGCGTGCGTGCGTGCGTGTGCGCGCGCGTGTGTGTGTGTGTGTGTGTCAATTCAAAAACAATAAAATACCCTAGTGCGACCCTACCTAGAAGTTGGAGACCAGCATTAGTTGCTATGCTATGCTATGCTATGCCATGCTATGCTGCGCTATGCTATGCTGTGCTATACTATGCTGTGCTATGCCGCGCTATGCTCTGCTCTGCTATGCCATGCTATGCTAAGCTATGCTATGTCGTGCTGCGCTGTGCTATGCTCTGCTATGCTATGCTATGCTAAGCTAAACGGATCTGTGCTATGCTATGCTATGCTATGCTATGCTATGCTATGTTATGCTATGCTGCGCTATGCTATGCTTGGCTATGCTATGCTCTGCTATGCTATGCTATGTTATGCTGCGCTGTGCTATGCTGTGCTGTGCTGTGCTGCGCTATGCCATGTTATGCCATGCTATGCTATGCTATGCTGCGCTGTGCTATGCTATGCTGTGTTTTGCTATGATATGCTGTGCTGCGCTGTGCTGTACTACGCTCTGCTATGCTATGCTGTGCTCTGCTATGCTAAAGCTCGGCGACACTAAGATGAAGGTCAACTAAGCTAAGATAACCCTCTAAACAGAGCCTAGGTAGGGAATTATACCCATGCTATGATATGCGATGCTGCGCTATGCTATGCTACGCTATGCTGTGCTATGATGTGCTCTGCTATGCTAAAGCTCAGCGAAGCTAAGATGAAGGTAAGCTAAGCTAAGATAAAACTGAGGTAATATGAAGCTAAGATAAGGTAACATGAAATAAGCTAAGATGAGATAAGCAACGCAATGCTAAGGGAACGTCACTGGGGGAACCGCGGGGCGGATACTGGGGGAACCGCCCGGGGCGTGCCCCACTGCCCGGCCCTTTAAGCTACGAGGTAAGAACCCTTCTAGGCAGAGCCTAGGTAGGGAACAATGTCAGGAGACGATTCTCCGTGTTTTTTTTTTTTTTTATCAATTGTGGCTATTTTTATTTTTTATTTTTCTTCCAGGACATGCTCGACCTAAGCCATGCCCCCGCCCGTACCGCCTCGTGGGCGCCTCGTCCTGGGGCCACACTGTCCTCAAAAGCAGGACGCGCCGCCAGGCCTCCGGCGGAGAGGAGCCTCTGAGAAGACCGCGGGCCCCTGCCCCAGCAGAGGGACCCTCGGTGGAGCTGCAGGCGGCGCACGCGGGTGTGCTCGGTCGCAGCCATCGCCAGAGCGGCCGTCTCAGCGGGGGCATCTCCAGCGGGTCTGTGTTGGGCTTCGGGGGGGCTGGGCTCAGGGGCGACCCCGCCCTGGGCGCTAGGGCTTCCCCGAGGTGGCGCGCTTGGTGCGTGGGCGGGCGGCTGCAGGTCCACGGTGCACGCCCTTCGATGCCCGGCCTCTGGCGCCCCAGCTCTCGTGCCTTCGACGACGCTCCGCCGCTGCCTTCCTGCGCCCGCTGCCTCGCCCTGGCCTTTTTTCGACGCCGCGCCGTGGTGCCAGCGAGAAGCAGGGCATTCTGAGCACGCGGCCAGCTTGCAACTTGGGCAGCACCGCTGCCGTTGCGCCAGAACGGCTCGCGACAGGGCAGAGGAACATGATGTGGACGCGATGACGTGCTCATGATCCACCATGCAGCGTCAGGAAACTCTTCAGGGACTCCAGATCTCGCCCAAGAAAATCAAGAGTCTGGACTGGACCCTGGGCGTTCTCTTGGAGCTTCTTTCCTTCGTAGAGCGTTCGTGTAATTACCTGCGCCTGTCCTGCTGAGAAAGAAACGCTTCGAGTGAATCTCATGAGCACAGCCCACAGCCGTCCTGACTCTGCGCGGGGGCGACAAGAACAGCCTCCCCCCCGCTCCGCCCCCGACGCCCGAGAAGGCTCGCCCGCTGGCCGCGGCACCGCGGGCCGCTCTTGACCCTCCCCCGCGGGGCCGGCCTTCCGCCCGCGCGCGGTGAGCCCTGGCCTGGGCCCGAGCCCCCCCGGGCACCCGCCGGCCCGATCCTGTCCTCGCTGGCCTCGGCTCCTCGTGCCCTCCGTCGGGCCCGCTCGCTCGCCGCTCTGCAGCGCCGGGCTCGGGGCCACAAAAGTCGGCGCGGAGAGGGTGGGCAGGGAGAGCGGCAGCAGTTCCGGTTCAGTCTGAGCAGGACTCGCTGTCGGCGTCGCCGCGGGCGTTGCCCCTTTGCGGCAGGAGGCCGCCTGCCCGACGGCGGGGCCGCGGTCGGTTTTGGACAGCATTGGTTGTTGGGCGTCGTGCGCATTTTAAACGCACCCATTGCGGGCGTGCGAGCCGTGCTGCTCTTTTTCCTGCCCTGTCCTGCAGTGAAGACGCTGGAGTGAGGACCACTTTGGGTTCAGGATGGGCTCGTGTTTTCCCGGCCGTTCCTCGGGTCCAGGTCGCTGGAAACCGCTTCGTGACCGATGCTCGCCGTGGCCAGGACAACCCCTTCGTTCCTTGCTTGGTGCTCCTTGTGGGAGCACGGCTGCTGCAGGAAGGCCAGGGATCGGCGCCCCCTCAACGTACCACTACCATGTGTGCGTCGCTCCCTCCCAGGGGTGACGCGCGCGCCGAGAAATCTTCAATACAAGCTCCGTGGCGGGCGCTATCTGGCCGCAGCGCTCGGGACACGGCACACCACAGGACGGTGACGGTGACGGTGCCCGCAGGAGTGTCCACGCGAGGGGACCAGGCGGGGCGAGGCCGGAGCGCCCGAAAATGCAGGTCATCTGCAGCGGCTGGCAAGGGCATCGCGGCTACTATGTGTCCGGGTCGGACATGCGCCTTCAAGGCGGGGACGCAGTACTGTGTGTCCTCGTGCGTCCCAAAGGAGGGCGATGAGCTCCTTCGCCTGCTACTGGGGGTCAGCCTTTTGGGGGTCAGGAAAAGGTGAGCTCAATTTCGCTGATTGTCCTTCTTCGAGGTCGCATTTTTATCAAAAGCGATGCCTTCCTTGTTTTTGTCTAGGCAATTCCTCTGGAAATCTCTGGCACAAGCCCGTATTCTTCTCAGAAAAGCCGTTTCCCTTAGTTTGCCCTTCTCTACTCTCGCCCCCAGTAGTCTGACCCTCCTCCTCCTCCTCCTCCTCCTCCTCCTTTTCCGCCCGGGCGAATGGGGAGCGCCTGCCTGCTGCTGCCGCGCCCTGCGCGCTTGTCGAGGCCGCGGCCCTCGCGGGCCCGGGGAGCTGCCCAGCCCCTCCTCGCCTCTCCCCCCGTGCCCCCGCGGTCGGGCGCGCGCCGGGGAGCGGTGGAGCGGGTGGCCAGGCGGTGGCTGTGGGGGGGGGGGTCTGCTCGGGGAAGCGTAAGTTTTGAGCAAGCCGGAGCTCGGGTCTGCGGACGTTCCTTGACGAGCGCGTCCTGGATCTCGACGGTCCATTTTTCGTGGGATGTCTGCAGCGGGAGCCCGCGTCAAGTTTCAGACTGGGTCGCGGCATTTTTATGATGGACCCGTCGGGCCAACCCGAGTCCCCCTAACCCGAGTCTTACGTCTACCCGATCTGCGCGCCGCTGTTTTGGGAATGTGCGGAGGTCTCATGGCGCCAACATCGCAACGCGGATGTAGTTCGGGAAACAAGGGGATCGTCCTGGATTATCCAGGAGAATTTCGCTTCGGACTTCGAAGTGAATTTCGCGCGGATTTTTGTTGACCAGGAATGCAGACTACGAACAAAAACACGTGAAATTCACTTCGCTTTTCGCTCGCCGTTCTGGGATTTTGCATTGACAGAAATCCACACACAAAACTCCGCTGCAGCACGTCTGCAAGGTCGGTGCAGTGAGAAGTCGAGCACAGTCAACCTGCATGGTAAGGGTGGGCAGTTTTCCCAAGGTTGCCCCTGCATCCTTTCCCTTCGGCCCACCCTCTTGGCCGCTTTCGCCGGCCGTGCACCGCTCGCAAAAGGTGTCGGCATGGCCTTCCAAGGCTGTTGCGTCCTTATCGTGCGTCCTTATTTTACGGGTTGAGTGCAGTGGATCGACTACAGAATTCACCCTAGCATTGAAATTGTTTTCGAATCTGCGAAGAGGACGTAGAGCGCACCTAGATATAACATACTTCTAGGTACTCTGCAGGGCCAGGAGTGGCGCCCCCCCATCCTTGCCCTTCTCCTCCTGCTCCTGGCCCTCCCTGCTCGTGCTGATCCTGCTGCTGCTGTTCCTCCTCGTCTTTCCTCCTCCTACAGCTTGCGCTCTTCCTCTGACTCATGGGCTGACGCCGCACCGCCGACCCCTTGGGGCGGCAGTAAGATTGAAAAACGGAATTTGCGGCACGTGCGCGATTTCTGGGGAATTTTGGGGTTTCAGCTTCTTGGGATTTCTTCGTGGGCTGGCGGATCGCGGCTCTGCTCTTGGGGGCCTCTAGGCGCCTCCTCAGGTTTTTTTCTGGGGCCGAGTGCTCGAAATGTCCATTCGGGTTCCCCTTCTGGGCCTCCTCTTGGGGCCGTCCTGGGGCCCTCCTGGGCCGTTTTGGCGGCTTCTGGGGCCGTCTTGGGGCCCTCTTGGGCCGTCTTGGAGCCCTCTTGGGGGCCTCTTGGCTATTTTGGGTCGATCTTGAAGGCTTCTTGGGCCGTTGTGGGCCTCGTGAAAGCCCAAGAGGCGAATGTGCTAAGAATATACGTTTCCCGTGGGATCGGGACGACTTTTTGCTTCTGGAGGGCCTCTTGGGACGCTTCTTGGTGGCTTCTTGGGGCGTCTTGGGGGCCTCTGGGGCCGTGTGGAGGCAGTCTTAGGCGTCTTGGAGCGATCCTTCGGCGACTCGTAGCCTTCTTGGACCGTCGGGTTGGCCTTTCGGGGCCCTCTTGGCCCGTTTTGGGGCCCCCTGAGGCTCCGAGGATGCGGCCGGCACTTTTGCCCCCCACCGCCGCCCCCCCCCCCGGCACTGTTAACCCCCCCCCCACACCTTCGAAACCGGCCGGACCGGCCTCCTGGGGGAGGGGTTTGGGGAGGGGGAACCATCTCACACGCAGTGACCCCCAGGGGTCGGCGGATTCCTCGTGATACCGCTCCTTTCTCGTCTTTCTCCTCTCCGCCTCCCTCTCCGCCTCCTTCTCCACCAGCCTCTCCCGCCCTCCCTTTCCATGCCTGCCTCGACTTTTTTATTCCCGCCTTGCTCATGCCCGCTCGGCGTGATCATGTGTTCTGACTCCTCGAGTGCAGCAGCAGTGGCGCCTAGCGCGGCGTCTCCTGCCACCACTCCACAGGAGACATTTTTTGCTACCCCCCCGGCGACAACGGGTGTGGCGGGGAGGGGGGGCGGCGGTGACGTCGCCACTCGCGCCGGCGCCGTTTGGGAAGGCTCAGGGACGGCTGATTCCCAGACTGGTCCAGCGCGAATCGTGACGTTACCCAGGTGGGGCGAAGGAGGAGGAGGAGGAGGAGGAGGAGGAGGAGGAGGAGGAGGAGGAGGAGGAGGAGGAGGAGGAGGAGGAGGAGGGAGGAGGAGGCCTTCTATCATTAGTCTTGATTATATGTACTCTGCTTTTATTCGTTATTCTCGGTCTTTTTTTTTTTTTTACTATACTTCTTTTATGTATTGGTTTTCGTTGTAGGAGTGTACTCCCCCTCAGCCTGTCTCCTCCATAGTGAAGGTGGTTGGGCCTTCGGTCGATAGCGTCACGCTGTTCGAGGACGACATGCACGACTTTGGCCTCTCGAGCCTCTTCGTGCGGCTGTACGTCGCGGAGACGTTCTGGATCGCCATCTCGCGGTGCTTCCTGCGCGTCGACGGCATTAAGTGCCGGCTCTTTCGGAGGAGAAGGAGGAGGCGAGACAGAAGATGAAGTGGAGGAGGAGGGGGGGCGAAGTAAGAGTAGGAGGACGAACAGGAGCAGGAGAAACAGGAGAAGGAGGAGGAGGAGGAGGAAGAGGAGGAGGAGGGGAAGATGATGATGATGATGATGATGATGATGATGATGATGATGATGATGATGATGATGATGATGATGATGATGATGATGATGATGATGATGATGCTGACTGTGATTTTTATGATGATGATCGTGATGATGATGATGATGATGATGATG